CTAATCCAAAATGTTTAAAATAAACCATTCACACAATAATATTTCTTTTTATAATTCAAATAAAAAGTAATAATTTATTTGAAATTTGATGAAAATAATTATACGATTTGTCTATGCCGTTTTGTGGCTTGGTTTTCAAAAAATAAAATTAACGATTTTATAAAAACTCCAACACAGGTGTATAGTCCAAAAATAAAAATATAAACACCACTAAATATTAATAAAATAATAGATTTTTTAAATCATTTTTTATATTTTTTTATAATTTTTAATAATTAATTTTTAATAATTTTTAATAATTAATTTTTAATAATTTTTAATAATTTTTAATAATTTTTAATAATTTTTAATAATTTTTAATAATTTTTAATAATTTTTAATAATTTTTAATAATTTTTAATAATTTTTAATAATTTTTAATAATTTTTAATAATTTTTAATAATTTTTAATAATTTTTAATAATTTTTAATAATTTTTAATAATTTTTAATAATTTTTAATAATTTTTAATAATTTTTAATAATTTTTAATAATTTTTAATAATTTTTAATAATTTTTAATAATTTTTAATAATTTTTAATAATTTTTAATAATTTTTAATAATTTTTAATAATTTTTAATAATTTTTAATAATTTTTAATAATTTTTAATAATTTTAATAATTTTTAATAATTTTTAATAATTTTTAATAATTTTTAATAATTTTTAATAATTTTTAATAATTTTTAATAATTTTTAATAATTTTTAATAATTTTTAATAATTTTTAATAATTTTTAATAATTTTTAATAATTTTTAATAATTTTTAATAATTTTTAATAATTTTTAATAATTTTTAATAATTTTTAATAATTTTTAATAATTTTTAATAATTTTTAATAATTTTTAATAATTTTTAATAATTTTTAATAATTTTTAATAATTTTTAATAATTTTTAATAATTTTTAATAATTTTTAATAATTTTTAATAATTTTTAATAATTTTTAATAATTTTTAATAATTTTTAATAATTTTTAATAATTTTTAATAATTTTTAATAATTTTTAATAATTTTTAATAATTTTTAATAATTTTTAATAATTTTTAATAATTTTTAATAATTTTTAATAATTTTTAATAATTTTTAATAATTTTTAATAATTTTTAATAATTTTTAATAATTTTTAATAATTTTTAATAATTTTAATAATTTTTAATAATTTTTAATAATTTTTAATAATTTTTAATAATTTTTAATAATTTTTAATAATTTTTAATAATTTTTAATAATTTTTAATAATTTTTAATAATTTTTAATAATTTTTAATAATTTTTAATAATTTTTAATAATTTTTAATAATTTTTAATAATTTTTAATAATTTTTAATAATTTTTAATAATTTTTAATAATTTTTAATAATTTTTAATAATTTTTAATAATTTTTAATAATTTTTAATAATTTTTAATAATTTTTAATAATTTTTAATAATTTTTAATAATTTTTAATACTTTTTAATAATTTTTAATAATTTTTAATAATTAATTTTTAATAATTTTTAATAATTTTTAATAATTTTTAATAATTTTTAATAATTTTTAATAATTTTTAATAATTTTTAATAATTTTTAATAATTTTTAATAATTTTTAATAATTTTTATTTATTTTTATTTATTTATTTTTATTTATTTATATTTATGTTATTTTTATTTATTTTTTTTATTATTTTTAAGATACTCCCTATTTTCCTTCTTCCTTAAAATGTGAAAATCCAAAAACCTTGAAATACGTAATTATATTTACTTATGATGGGTAGCTACAATTCCAATTTTCAAATTTCTACAATTAAAAAACCGAAAGTCTCATTCAAACTTTCACCTTCCGTTTCCTCCCTTAATATGTAAAATCAGAATACTTTGAAACATGTCTGTTTATTTATGAAGAGTATGTACCTACAATTTCAATTTTCAAGTTCCTACTATACAAACTTTCACTCCCACACATTTCGCCTATTTCCCCAATTTCCTACATTTTCCTTGTTTTCCTCATTTCCCCTCTTACCCCCATTTTCCCTCTTAAAATATGGAAATACAAAAACCTGAAATACATCATTATTTATTTGTAATGAGTTGCTATAATTCCAATTTTCAAGTTCCTAGCTATAAAAAATCTGATGTGTCCAACACATGACTTTCCTATCTAGTTATTATAGGCTTTTCCCGGTTATTTTGTACAACCTATTGCAGCATCTCTATAAATGTTTAGAGGACAAACTAAATATATACATTGTCCACATATATCTACCTCGAAACATTTTTCTATAGATATTCATTGAAAACGAAAATATTGAAAAATTTAAATTTCCTACAATTTTTTTATTACGGTCCATTTTAGAAAAATCATGTATGAACAAAAATTATAGAGATCGATATCGCAAACAACTTTTAGTTCCACAATTTTCATAAAAATCAGAATTTTGCACGTTTTGTCAAATTTCTCGAATACGGACCATTTCAGGAAATTTTGTTATAAAGCAGAAATTATAGATAATAGTATTAGAACTAACTTTTATTTCAACAATTTTTTCTCCAAACATAAATAACAGATATATTCCATAAAATATAAAAACGGCCTCCCATAAAGTACCCCCCAGATGTTCTGACTTTGTCCAAAATCTAATCATTTCACGTCAGGCCGAAATAAAACTTAAGTTTAAAATTTAATGTTTTTTATCCGTTTTTGAGTTTTCTTCAAATTTCAAAATTTACAATTTTCTCAAATTTCTCGAATACGGTCCATTTAATAGAAATTATGTATAGGATAAAAATTATAGAGAATTATATTACAAACAACTTTTATTTGAATAATTTTTATAATTTTTTTTTTACATTCTGTCAAATTTCTCGAATACGGACCATATTAGGAAAATTTTGTATAGAACAAAAATTATAGATAATAATATAAGAAGTAACTTTTATTTGAAGAATTTTCTTCCCCAAACGTAAATAACAGATATATTCCATAAAATATTCCATAAAATATAAAAATGACCACCTATAAAGTACCTCCCAGATGTTCCGACTCTGCTCAAAATCTAATCAGTTCATTGGACACTGGAACAAAGCTTAAGTTTAAAATTTGGTGTTTTTCTGTGTATCGGTTCATGAGTTATGCGACACACAGACATCATCGCAAAAATAGTCAAAACGGATTCAAGGGACCTCAAAACGTAAAAATCCGTCGAAAACTCGAGGTCGAAAAAAATCATGATTCCTATACTTTCCTTATATCTGTATACAGATAGGAAAGTAAAAAAAATCGATACTTCCATGCAAACTTTTAACTCCCGTTTCCCTCCCTTAAAATGTTTAAAACCAAAAATCCTGAACCACATCATTATTTATTTATGCAGTATTTTAAATTTTCATGTTTCACTACCACTATGCAAAAAATTATGTCCGATCACCTTGCTCTGTGAAAAACAAATCGATCCCACCGGGATCGTACATTTTTTCGGGATAAAAAGCCTATGTGCTATTCCAGACTATAATCATTTGTGCCAAATTTCATCCAGATTCGTTGGGTCGTTCTTGCGTGATTGAGCAACAAACATCCATCCACACATCCATCCATCCATCCAAACTTTTGCATTTATAATATGATAGGTATATATGATGATGAGTTGAATGGCTTAAGGACTTTTGTGAATTTGTTGGAACAGAATATGAGATTATTTTATATCACTCAAAGACTAGACGGCTGCCTTTATTTCCTGTTATTAAAAAGATATTAAAAATGTTTGAAGCACTTAAATCATTTTCTTTTGTCTCAAGAAACAAAATCCTCCTTATCCTTATATTAATAATCATTTTTTGAACACTATTTTTCAGAAACCTATATTTTCCTTGTTGACTCTTAAATGTCTATATTTCACAAAATGTCCGTTCTACTTTGGAAGAATTCAAATTGAATTCAAGGTGAACAATAATTTATGTAAATTTCATGGAAATGATTTAGAGCACAAATGTGTTCAAATAAAATTAGAGATTTATTATTTATATAAATCAATAAAATATTTAAAAAATGGGCAAAGTGCGAGTCGGACTTGTGCATGTAGGGTTCCACACCATCATACAAGATTTAATACTATGTAGGTACTTAAATACTTTATATAATTAAAAAACTGTAAGGGGTGCTTTTTGACCCTTATTTCCAATTTCTACCCTCTAATTCAATAGCACTACACGGTATGGTTTCATCTTTAATGACAATTTCAATGATTCATGTGATAAAAATCCACAAAGGTATGATAGTTCCTTATTGTCCCTTTTTAGGATGTAATAGCATCAAATGTCACAAAAAGATAAATTATTAGTGAATGGTGGATTCCACCAAAGGAGGGAATATTTAATGGCTATTGAAGAATTTCAGATGATTAATTAAATATTAGTTTTATTAGTGCATTAGTATTGTTAATAATTCTTAAATTAAATCATTGTTCCGTTTTGCGACTAATGGAAATTCATCAATTCCCTTTTATTCTCTGACCCACTAAACATGGCAGAAGATGAAGAGTGATAACTTTGGAACCAGCCGCATTGAAAAAATATATATCTTTGTAAGATTTAAAGGACCTTCTTTCTTTTATCTTTTCATCTAACCAACTCACACATGACTACTACAAGTTTGAAATTCAATTAGGTTCTCTTATTTTCAATATGTAAAATTAGAGGTAAAAATATTACCCTTGGAATTAAATTTGAATATTTTAAAACTACATAAACATAACAGATAAGAAAATAATTGCTAATGATAGTCAAGAGTGACTTCATGTTATAGTATTCTGTGAACATATTGAATACCTACCTAATTTTTGTTAACTACAGAAAAGCTCAAACCAGACATAAATATTGGTAAAACACTTGGTTTTTAGCCAGTAAAACTGTTTAAAAGGTACGTACCTATAACTTTAAATTTTAAAAAACATTTATATTTGGAAAGCTTTATTTCTAGACAAAATATAGCCTATAAATATTGATTTTAATCAGAATTTTCATCTTCACTACTTCCTCCGTCAGATAACTCATCATCTATATCTATATTCAAATTATTATCCTTGTCTTCGTCGGTTTGTTCATCATTTTTAATTTCACCTTTTGAAAATAGTTGATTTTCCCACATAATTAAATCGGTTGTCTTTGGGGGTTTCAATTTAAACCGAATTTTGAAATTGTTTTTGATATCATCTAAAGTCTGATTGTTGTGTACGGTTTCGTGGATCCAAACAGCAGCTACTATTTTTTGTTCGTTGGTATATTTAATATTATCTTCTCCTTCATCATTATTGGGGTTTTCAGAATTCATTTTTCTAACAAATTTAATATTTTACAAAAATTATAGTCCTCTCCTGTATCCTTTTAGCCTTTTACTAGTTTTTTATCAGGTTGTAGGTTGTAGCACAGAATAACCACTTGTATGGTAGATTGTTTTGTTATTTTTATATTCTTCTTTTTTTGTGAATTGTCTTTTACTTTAATACATATAAGCACAGCTATTTAGGATTTGGAAATTAATTATAGTTTATCTTTATTTGCATTAATTATTGAATAATACAATTATTCTTGTGAAATAAATAATCATAAACAAAAAAGTGATAGTTTACTTTTTAAGATCAACAATTGTTTTGTTTAGGATAATCGTTTTCCCTCTTTATAAATACAGGGGTAGTATTCTCGAGTCACGAATATAGATTCGCATGCGAGATTTATGATTTGTCTCGCTTGGTTTTTGTTCAACAAAGTGAGACACATTGTAAAACACGTATGCGAATGTCGGTATTCGTGATTCAAGAATACTACCCCGGGGGTAGTATTCTCGAGTCACGAATATAGATTCGCATGCGAGATTTATGATTTGTCTCACTTGGTTTTCGTTCAACAAAGTGAGACACATTGTAAAACACGTATGCGAATGTCGGTATTCGTGATTCGAGAATACTACCCCTGGGGTAGTATTCTCGAGTCACGAATATAGATTCGCATGCGAGATTTATGATTTGTCTCACTTGGTTTTCGTTCAACAAAGTGAGACACATTGTAAAACACGTATGCGAATGACGGTATTCGTGATTCGAGAATACTACCCCTGGCCTCAATTACTAACGAGAAATCAAAAGGTCCGTGTGGCCCACAAAGCACATAGAGGTTCCACGTGAATGACCAAGGTCAAAACCGACAACTGACATTTTATATGCTATTTGCTCCAAACTCTAGATGGGGCTACTGGTAAAATTCTGATTTCTTACTCCATTTTTAAGCTTTATGGCAGTGTTGCCAATTTGCGTATAATTATACGATTTTCGTATATTCTGACTTGCCGGCGTATCTTTTTCTAACTCTTTGAAGTTCCGTATAATTTCCGTACATTCTGGGAAATACTATGGATCTTTCTAGATTTCCATTTATTTTAGAAATAAGTTTGAGAGACTCCTAAGTTTATTTGGACAATTAAGGTGTTTCAGTGTGTCTCTTCTGCTCTACTTTTATTAAACAGTGACTGACTGGCACTTCTTGACTGCTTATTTTAGAGAACGCCACACTCCATGTTATTGACCAATGAAAAAAGGCCCGGAGCCGGGGATTCACCGAACTAATTTTGTTCGTATTGTTAAAATGCACTTAGAAACTTTTGGCAGCCTGTCTGAACGAATCTGCTTTGCTACATTTATTCTGTGGGCAGTGCCCAATCTCAAAAATCTGGCAGCAACACAAATTTGATATTCTCAAATGCAAAGATGTGGCTGCAAAGGTAAATCTACAAAGGCGTATAAAAAGCGTATCTTTTGTACCTAGCCACCGTATAATTTCAAGTTTGGGTATTGGTAACACTGCTTTATGGGAGAAAAACTTAACCAAAGACTCCAAAGATGTGACGTGTATTTATTTATGTTTTTGGTTAATCTCATTTTTCCGTCTGATTTTAGTGATTTTTTATTGGCTTTGTCTTTTGGTTTCTGTTTATAGTTTCGTCTTAGTTATTTGCAAAATTGTGATGTTTTGCTTTTCTATTTGCTACTGTGTTTTGCAATAATTTTGGTGCTACCTGTGGGTGCTACGTTGAAAACTTCGAGAAAAACTTCATTGATTCACCATGCATCTGCATCATAAAAAGACAAACGGGTATAACAACTAATTGATAATCAATTTATCACTGGACTAGATTCCGAAATTATTTTTCACATAAGAGAGTAATACACAAAGCAGTGGAGTAATACCACCATCTGTATTTGGAAGGAAAATACCTATTTATCATTGAATGAATAGTTAAAAGGATTCACCTTTTAATACAATACCTATATTACATTTGTCCTCGGTTTAAAAGACATTTATAAAATATATTATTTTAGTGTTAATAAAATGTAATATCCTAGTATCTACTTCACATTTAAATTATTGATAGGTATTTTAAAGATTTGAGAGTAAGTATTCGTTAAATATGTATTATTATTTGTTTTTATTTTTATCTAATAATATTTATTGATATATCTTATATTTATTTAATAATAATATGGAGAACCAACTCTCCACATCAGACCCCTGCTTATAACAAATTAATTCCTCAAATTTGGTATAATCGACCTAAATTATTTTGTAAAATAAAAGTTTCGAACTTACTAGTTCCATTCTTTATTTTATAAAATAATTTATGTGGAAATAATTTAAACTACTACCTACTCCTAAAAATTACAATTTGAATTTACCGCCATCTGTCAATTGTCATTTTAGTTCCAGCTCCAAACACAAGGTGGCGCTAATTTGGTTTAAAAGTTTAACATTGGCGTGGGGTCTCTAGAAGATACGTGCTTTGTGGTGTGGCCCGTATTTATAAACAGAACTTACGTGAGTCGGACTTGGGTAAGTCGTCCTTGAACTAAAATCGAAGTTCGGTTACAACGTCTCTAAAGTTCTAGGTGGTTCCGGTGTTACACTGGAATTTAGAGATGAATATTCGCGAATCTATAACTGTTATGTACATTTACGGATTTGTTACTACCATCTCTAAATTCACGCGATATAACCGAACTTCGATTTTCGTTCAAGGACGACTTACCCTAGTCCATAGATAAATTAATATAAAACAAGATGAATTTATTAAATGCCCGCCACTGTCAACACGGCGTAGTTCCCAGCATACTATTAGTTAGCGCCACCATCGCAATAGTATGAAAGCGATGTTGCCGGTTTCCGTACACTTTCATGAGATGATAGTTATTTCAAATTCATTTTATTTTAATTTTTTATCAATCTACATGCGCACCATACCATCCATACAATGTCCATACTATTGCTGATATTTTTAAAAGACGGGATTGACAACCTTGTAAAAAATGAAAAACGTGATGGCGGAAGGCGAGATATGATAAAATAATTAAAATAAAACTTATTTTTATTTTATGATGTAAGTTACATAGGTAGGTAAGTTATTTTTAGGTTAAGAAACAAACGGTGCTGATTTGATGTAATTAGTAAGTATTAACTTTAATTTAATATTAAGTATTTAAGGACTTTGTTTATCATTGTTTTCTTAGCCTTAACGATATATAGGTATCTAATTTCATATTTCAACAATTCCTTTTCTAATATTTGAAACAAAAATGTCTGGCCCGGGTATAGTTAAGTATTCTTGTTCAGCTCCTAATTGTTTAAATAAGTATTATTCTAATATTCAGCAAGTTGGTTATTCAAATAAAGCATTTTTTCATTTTCCTTCTGATGTTAAAGTTCGCCAGAACTGGTTTAAGAATTTAAATTTAACTTTAGATGATAATAATACTCGCTATCTTTGTGAAGATCATTTTTTGCCAGTCTTTTAGTAAGGTTTCCTCAAAACGTAAACGACTAGTTGTACATTCTTTACCAATTTCTTTAGATAATTATGCATCCAGTTCAAATATACAACCCGAGAGCCAGATTTCAGAATATATTGAGGCTGAAGCACAAACACAGCAGCATAAGATAGATTTGCTAATCAGCAACGAAAATCAAGAAATTAGTTGCAAACGTAAACTAAATATTAGTGATGTACAATTTGAACAACCCTCCATACGGAGAAAAACTGTTTTGCAACAAATAAATGAAAGTAAAGTCAAAAATTTAAGTCCCAAAGAGAAAAAGCTGTATTTTATTAATAGAGAACAAAACGTTAGAATTTGTAAGCTAAAGAAAGCTCTACGTGTTTCCAAAAATAAAATCAAGAAAGCCTTTGAATTATCCAAAACTCAGTTATTTTCAGATTTTAATAATAAATTAGATCCGATTGGAATTAAATTCTTTAAAAGTAGTTTAGAAAATTGTAAGAGAAAGAAACCCTCTTGGACCACTCAGAATAAAATTTTTTCTTTAGCATTATAAAAAAATGATCCAAGAGCATATAATTTTTTAAGAAAATGCATTTCGTTGCCTAGTAAATCTACTATCCAACAAATTTTAAGTGATTTACATTTTGAAACGGGGATAAATGATTCAGTGTTTTCCAGATTTAAAGAAATTGTTAGAAAAATGCCAGAAATTGATAGGAATTGTATTTTAATGTTCGACGAAATAGCTCTAACCAAAAAACTCACTTTTGATACAGTTAATGACAAAATTGTTGGATATGTTGACTGCGTCGTTCTCAATCTTCGTCAAATAATTAAAAATAACTTAGTTTTATAAAAATGGTCAACATTTTGATAAGAGAAATTGTTCAATAACATATATGTACACTTTTTGTTTTGTTTTTATAGGAAACACCTGACGCCCATCAAAGTATGGTCCATTTTTACAAGAATGTGGGGAAACTAGTATTAATTTCACTTACAATTGTTCTTTATTAACACATTATGTATGTATTACTGTATAATAAATAATTTAAATATATTTGTCTTATATTTTATTTCAGTGTAAATATTTTTTGTCTACATTTTTGTATACATTTTTTGGGGTTTTATAACTAAAAAAAACTAATATATATGTTAAATACAATATTTTAATATAAATATTAGTTTTTCTTTTTAAAGTAATGAACCCCAAAAAATATAAATAAATAAATAAAGATATTTAAATGAACCGCGGTTACGTTAACACTCTTCTTTTTTTATGCCTCTTACTGACAAATCAATCAGCCGGTGTAGTTCAAAAAAGATCCGTTCCATACTAATTCGCAGCACTACGTTTCCAAAGATTAACACAGAATCCGACCATCTTCTTTATTAGTTTATCTATGCCCTAGTCCGACTCAGCTGAGTTTTGTTTATAAATACGGGCCACACGGACCTATAAGGCTTGTTCTGGTTTCTTCGAAATTCGCTGCAAACCGTCTAAGATCCAGCGGAACAGTTGACTACCCAATTATTTGTCGCGTAAAACTTTTAAACTTTTTACTGGCCAGGTAGTACTCGGAGAGTTTTTAAC